CTTCTAAAGATCGTCTCCGGCACCAAAGAAAAATGACTTAGATTGCTTTTTGGTCTGATTCAGTTGATTGGTTCGATGCGTCCAATTAAGTGCGACGTCTGACCCAACAGACGATCTTAACTTAACTTGGTTGGTCTCATCAAAAGTTCGACGTTTGGCCTAGGGCCGGTTTACGTTTCTTGCTGTCCGTTTATGGAATAGTAAAAGAATAAGGATACGTGCGCAAAGACACCAATAAAATGCGAAAAACTTAGTAATCTCGATTTAATGATCATCTAAATACTTTCAAGAATTATATAATTTTTTTTCGGATTTCAGCTACAGACGATGTTAACTTCATTTAAGGTGGCTCCCTAGAGTATTTACTAATAACCCTAGCTATCTAGCATACGATACAGAAGGAAATCTAGTTAATTTGTCTTTGCGATTTGGTTCACGAAATTCACCGCTAAGTTTACCCGTGTAAGAAGGCTCCTTTATCAAGTTTCATTTTCTGGATTAACGCCGTTGCCATGGCAACATCGAATCCTTAAACAGGCAGCAATTTTGTCATTTTTGATCCTTTTTTCTTAGTATTTCTTATTTCCCTTGGTGAAATGTCTTTAAACTTTGCCACTTTATGTTAACGATATTGCTTAACATTTTAAAGTGGAAAAAACATAGGATCGTTAAGACGGTTTCGCCAATATTTTGAAATTTGTAACTTTTCTTAATAGAGGAGTTTAGCACAGATTTTAACAAGAAAAGGAAAGTACAAAGGTAATGCAACTGTTAAGAAATGAGGTGATTTTTAAAAAAATTTACCGAAGGAAACGCAAGAAATTCACGGTTAATTAACTGCGCTGACGTCACAAAAATCCGAAAAAACACGCGTGGTTCAGGGTCGTATGTTCAAGGTACGCGCGCGAGCCATCACGCTGGCATGCGCATAACGCACAGCTGAAAACATGTGATTTCTTCGAAAAGTACGAAAGCCATTGTTAAAGCTGTTTATTAGTATCATTACGGTGATATCTCAGCTGTTGAAAAAGGAGAGATAGCGGATTCAATTTTATACCAACACTGGATGTTTTCTTCGAAATACTTAACCATTGTAGCCAAAATTCGAGCCGTGGTGGTCACTACTCGTGCAGATGGCGATCATTGGAGATGAAGACGGTGGTTTTGCAAGGATCGCGATAAGCCCTTCATTTCCTAATCTGCTGTACTGACTGTTTGCAGATCTTCAAATGCCAGCCCACTTCCGGATACTTTTTCAACCTTGTTCCTCTTTAGGGATAATTTCGATGGCGAAGTTTTTCTTTAAAAGCCTGCTGTAAAAGATGGCGCCGATCTAAAAAAAAATACATCACGTCCTCAGCTGCACGTACAAGACCGTAGTTCTCGATGGATAACCTACTATTGCTTTTGTAAAGGGTCAATCAGTGACTCAAAAATTATTTTTCGTTGTGCAACAACATTTTCTAGTGCACCTTGTGCGTTAAAGAACTTTTGAAAAGGAAAAAGTACAAGGATGTTGGCTCGTCGATGGAAAGGTTCCTTCGATGAGGATGCAAGTTAAGTAGGAAACCTTTCTTCTGACAAGTTTTTTAAATAAGGTGATAGAGACATTAAAGCAAAAAAAAATTACACTTGCTGTAATCTTGCCTTAAAGCCACTTCTAGAATTTCTTAATCAAATCAAATGTAAGAGAAATGAAGTGACCGAGGATCGCCGCCGGTGAAGACATTCTTCAGTGGTTTTTCGGGACTTGGCTTGATCTTTCAGATCTTTCCACTGACCGTGAACCAAAGGCCAGAAACGGTAACATTGCTTCCCTTAGGGTTAGTGTACTTATTTCTTTGTTTTCTTTGTAAAGTTTCCATTCACCATTTACTTCGACTATTTTACGTTTGTCTACTTTTGAAGAGAAAGAATTGATCTCTTTGGAAAATTGCTGCTTCGTTTTTACATACAATTTACTCTTATGGAGATCAATAGTGACTTGTAACCGGTATAACTTTGTCTCCTCATAAATGTTTGACCTACACTAATCAAACGTTTTGCACAATGAGCTTCAACAGAAAGTTAATAAAGTCTTTTGGGGGGAATATTTTGAAACTGAGAGGCCATGTTTGTTTTAATTTTTGCGTGGACGTCGCGCGGAGTTTAAAGCTCGCGCCATACTAGTGTTCAGGCTGCACACGGCCAATTTACTCTAGGGAGCCACCTTAAGTCGACCCAAAAAAGAGTTTGGTTCGTCTCATGAAAAGTTCACCTAGGGCTCCTAATATCTGTTAACGTTTCTTGCCGTCCGTTTATGGAATAGTGAAAGAAATACGTGCGCAAAGACACCAATATAATGCGAAAAGCTTATTAGTCATCCCGATTTAATGAGCATAAAAATGCTTTCAGGAATTACGTTCCTGTAAAAAAGACATAAAGACCAAACAAGATTTGCATTCTTCAGACATGAATTTTAAAAACAAGTACTAGATAAATTACGTGACTGTTCAAATTGTTTTAAACTGTGAGGTGAATTTTGCGTATAATTAAAAATCCCTTAATCTAACAGTCCTCTATATCCTTCACTGATTTGCATAATTGCATCATTTGATAATCATGACAACAATTTATAGTGATGATTTCATTGATAATGAGGTCTATGATAATGATGACGATGGTAATGATAAGTTACCTGCAAGACACCACGCCACCATTAAATGATTGTTCAGCGATTTCTACAGCGAGTGGAGTCTATAATAAATTTAAAAAAAAAAATAAACAGTTTTGGCAAGTGTGAGTTGATCTGATGATTCAACGCGGTACCTCGTTAATTTATTGCTTGACTGGCTTTATTTTCTCCTTTATATCATGTTTCTCAGTCACCTTTTTCTCTAAATTTTAAAACAAACCGTTTTGTTAAACGTCCATGAGGGTCCTCAAGACATTGATTGCTTTATTTTACTTACGTGCTAAAACTGTATAAAAATATGCCGTTGTGACTACTGTGTGCTTTAAAATATCTAAAACATGAAAATGAAAATTTCGCACGTGCTTATAGTTGGAGAAAAACGATAGTGGTGATGAGCTTTGTAATCAAAGAGAAGCATTGAAGGCGGCCGCACTACCTTGGGATAACCACATGCTAAATAAATATGATGAAAACTAATTAAAGGCAAGGGATGATGTTTAGCAGCGTTTAGAAGGCCNACTGTATAAAAATATGCCGTTGTGACTACTGTGTGCTTTAAAATATCTAAAACATGAAAATGAAAATTTCGCACGTGCTTATAGTTGGAGAAAAACGATAGTGGTGATGAGCTTTGTAATCAAAGAGAAGCATTGAAGGCGGCCGCACTACCTTGGGATAACCACATGCTAAATAAATATGATGAAAACTAATTAAAGGCAAGGGATGATGTTTAGCAGCGTTTAGAAGGCCTTATCGCCAATGAAAAGCAACAAGTAACTCACCGGATCTATCCTAGTTGGTGTTGTTCTACCGGATGCGTAATAATGGCCACTTAGAGAGGTTTCACTGGCGCAAATAAGTATGTCTGTATCAGGCTGTAGAAAAACGAGATAAAATTAAAGTTAGGCAAGAGTTAGAAAGGGCCCCAACAGGGCTGAAATTATTAGTAGTTGTGCGAAAAAAAGAAAAATGTTTCACTGTTAGTGGTTAAGAAAAAGTTTACTGTTAAACCTTTTCCAACCGTAACGTGCCATTCAGAAAGAGTCGATTGTGTGCTCGCAGGCTGTATGTGATTCGTCCCCGTTTGGCTGTGTAGCCTGCTTCAGCCTTTTTTATCCGGAAAAGATTCTAAGAGAACTACATATTTAAAAGTGAATTTTGGGACCATTAAATTAACATTTTTTAACTTTTGGAACAACCGATTTTTGTCAGGTTAGTTTCTGTTAACTTCAGTAGAGAAAAAAGTAATTTTTAGCATTAGCAACTAAGACAAATTATTAACCGCTACCCGCGAGTGCCTCCAAATCATTGAAACACTATTAGAAAACAACCTCTGTTTTTTGAATTTATGGATGCGAGAAATTTGCTCATGACACAACCGTCTTTCATTTCTTCCTTATGCCTGCCTCTACAGATAAGTTAATCCTCAAGATTAAGGTTACTTACCATTTGGTTATCACCACTGAATCCCACTCCTGCCCAGTTTCCTCTGCCTCTTAGTTCGAAAACCACACTGTTATCACCAGAGACTTGGTATGTCACAAGAAAATCACAATCGGCATCCGGGCAATTATCTGGAAACCTAAAGCTCCCCTGTCGCATAATGCTGGCCGGCTGAAAAGGGAAAGATCAGAAGTAATATAATGTTTTTTTAAATATGATTATGTTATTATGAGGGAGCCGTTTCAAATGTACTGTAGTTGTAGGTAGAGCGTACGCGGGATAAAGGAGTTTTAGGGAAGAATCACCCGGCAGTATAATCCCACGAAATTCATTTAACCCTCTTAATGCATCGGGAAATACTTACAAGTTCAGTTTCTTTGCTACAACAATTAGGGATTGAAATAATTTAAGGAATCCTGCGACTGAATCTGAATCATACGATGGCTTGAAAAGAGTCGTAAGTAATTTAGTTATCTCATATTTGTTACAACAAGGATAAAAAATATAAAACTGTTCTAATGAGGCCTTAAACTGCTGTTTAAAATAAGTAAAATCCAAGCTTTCGCCGATCAACGGCATAATCAGGGATGAGAAAATTTTCCGCGCGCGGTATATAAATGCAAAAAAGGTGTAGGGTGAAATTTGTAAAAGATGTGACGTATGTATGGAAGCTATAGAAATATACGCTTAAGAAAGGTCTCCAAGGGTCTGTTACATGGAGGTAGGGTACCCCAGATGGGTGAGGTAACCCGCTTAGGTGGGGTAAACCGCCGGTCCATATAATCTCTCATTTTAATGTGATCACGTTTACATGTTAGGTGGGGTAACTTGCCACATGTTACCTCACCTACCTGGGGTCCCCCACCTTCGTGTAAACAGGCCCTTAAATACTAAAATGGACGGTCTGCGAATTTACTACATTCCTCCCGGGAATTGAGTGTAGGCGTATACTTTCTAATGTAAAATGCTTCATAAAGGCGTAGATTAGCGGGGTCGTTTCGCTCATAATAATCTTGACTTCAATGCATTTATAGTCTTTGTTCTGGCAGGAGTAGATATTTTTTTCATAGAGGAGTTTTCATTATTGACATGTTCGTTTACGCGGTCGTGGATAAAGCGTGTCGAGTTACCAATGTATTGCTGATCGCAGCTGTTACACGTGAGCTGGTACACTGCATTTCTTCTTAAACACAACCCGGTGTTAGAAATAGGGCATTTGTCTCTAGTGCATTTGCGTTCCCTCGAGGTGTGGGATAGGGCTTGTCTGAGAGTGTAGGATTTGTGGGCAATGCGTACCGAGATGTTTTCTTTTCTAAGAATGTTAGTGATCCTGTAATTGAACAGTTCAGAAATGTACGGAATCTTAAGGTATGACCATTCTGTGTTGGCAGCTTACAGCAGTTTAAGGTGGCTGAAGACAGTTTTGGCAGTTTGTGAGTGTATGTCATTTGTCAAATCATGGCAAGAGAAAGGTTGCAGCTCACTAGCTGAAACTTGGCAGGTGAAAAATGTACAGATGAAGGATTTTGATTGACAGGTAAAATTTGACGTTTTCGTAGTTTCCATGGCATCATGAACGATTGAATATAACCTTAAAATTTCAATTTTGTTCAGTTTACATAAAATTCGCTCATTAGATTTTCCTATAAACTTGCACACGGCTTACTGTAACTAATCGTTACCATTTGAAACTTATTTGATCAAATTTTAACAGAAGGACTTTTAGATAATCAATAATATAATTGTATCGTAATTATTAAATGTGTCACGAAATTCGTCTGTTCAACTTCCATTTTCAAGTTTTCATTATCTAAAATACGATAAAAGTGAAAATTCTGCCAAATATCACAAAATTGTGATGAGTCGATTTTGAGAAATCGTCTTCTGTGAACCGTTGCTTTTTCGCCGCCATGTTTGTTTCTCTAATTAAAAAAATAAGCGGTCACGCGAGTTACCGCTGACCGCCCGCAAAACTGTGTTCAGCCACCATAACGCCTCACTAGAATAGTTTTATATTTCTTTAATTATGCTGCTGAAGGACAACATGAATAAATTATTGAAACAAGGATAAAGATGATGGTTTCTAGTAACACTTCTATCTATTTAATCTACTTACAAGTAACTCAACTATTTAAATAGTATCATAAGTACTGGTCCATTTCTACTTTGCTATTAACTATGTCAATACTGTGAGCTCCAGCTAGGAATATCTACGTAATCGGGGATAGCCGTTATAGATTGTGGCTGTAGATGTAGATCACACCCAATGCACAGGCTCGTTGTTTGAAAATTGTTCGATTACGTGATATCACGTATAGCCAACTCTCGTTATTGGACCATAGGTTCAACATTGGGCTTTGGCCTGGTTACGGTTTGTGTGATCTACATTGTAAGATAATATGCACTAAACTCACCGTGGACGGATTGACCTGGGAAACCTGGGATCCATTAGTGACAGTGGAATTAGCTTGAGTAACAATGACTTTTTGGGGAGATGCTTCCCTCCTACTGTGCTGCTGTAGACTTGAACCTGTTCAAATAATAATAACCATTCTACCAGTCTTTGCATCACACGCACGAATAATCGGCTTAAAGGAATCTTAGAGGAGCAAAGACAGCATTACCTATTCATTCATGACTGATTTTACCCTGCCTATCTGACTGTTTTGTATTTTTGGATGCACCTTAAGACAGAAGGAGTCTTTTGCGGCTAAGGATTATTTTCTCTCCCGTGCATATTTTAAGAACAGAAATTTGAAAAATATTCAGTATTTTTTAATAGCTGAAATTTAATTTCAGGTTGTTGCAAAACACATTTCTAAGGTCTACAGTTCTCTAAGGCCCGGTTCAGACGCCGCTCCACTCATGTGCCAAACCTAACTGATGAATTAAGTATGGCGTCTAAATCAATTTGGTACGGCAGTTTTAGTTTGGTGCGGCAAAAGCGTTAAGTTCGACAGAGTCTGTCGAACTTTTGTCGAACTTAACTTAGGTTCGACACACAGTACGCAGTCTGAATCAGATGTCGCGCCAGTGTCGCTCCAAAGTCGAACTTATTCAGTTAGGTTCGGCACATGAAAAGTACGGCGTCTGAACCTGGCCTAAGAAGAAAAGGGCTGAAATAGGCACCATCAACGAGAACGAGACACATAAGTTCCTAATACTTGTGACCAGGAAAACCTAAGAAATTGTGAGGGAACGGGGAACGGAAAAAAAGCCCTAGGCACAACGCTGTGCTAGGAAATTTCTGCCCCATTCTCCTGGGGGCTACGCCGCTCATTTGGGCGCTCGACAAACAAAACCGCCAGGTACGGAGATTAGATGGATTGCTAGGTGGAAGAACTGAAACAATACGTGTCATCAACAACAAGATGTATTATTATATTTTACAGCTGTATTGAGTACTCATTTATGGTAGCTAAATATCTCATCACACTCGTACTACATTTTGTCGTTTCGTCGTAACCGAAAATGAATACAACAATAGGAACGCGCTAAAGTAGATAACGTTTTTACTTTAAATGAGAGGAAAAGAAAACAACAGCAAAACCGAAATTAAGATAATGAAAAGGAACAATGACAACAACAAACCGTCTCTGTTTCCATATGCAGCTAAAAGGAACACGTCTTGGTTGAGATCGTTAAAATTTGCTATTGCTGGAACTGGATTTACATCTCTTGAAACCCTAAAAGCAACAGAGATTTTAAAAAAATGTTTCACATACCAGAATCATTTACTTGAAAATTCTTTCCAATGAATCACTCCGGTAAATGCAGAATTATACACACAGGTAACAATCATATACGTACCTGCATTTTATGATATTATTCTCGTCTGCCTGCTCGATAAATTGTATTGCTGCTGGTGTCTGGATAAAAGTCAAAATAAAGTCAAAAATCTTTTAGTATAATAAAAACGTAAGTTACTGGATAGATCGCTCGGACGATTGCCCTAAGTACATAGCACTGACAGAGCGAGAAACATCCGGTTGCTAGGGCAATATCCGGATTGACCAGCAGACGAGACGAGACGTAAATAGGATAAGTCAGGAACAAACATATTCTATTTCACAATTATGATGGAATGTTCTGCTGCAGTTTGTAACAACCGTCACACTTTACATTTCTTCATGGGCAATGATAGTAATCATGATGATAATGATGATGATGATTATGATGATGATAATAACAATAATAATAATTGCGATATTGATCATGATGATGATGATGACGAAAATGCTTTTTATGATATATGCTGTAAGTTTTTACTATAGCCAATGCTCTTTATGTATCATAACGAGAAAATATATCAATGATTATTATGTTAGTCAAATTGCGCTTTATCGGCTTATTCAGCGTTTTATTAATTATACTGTGATAAAACATGGGTGCCCCCTTAACCAAGTCTGGTTAACAGGATCCCGTGTTAGTAATTACATGTCGTGAGGGATAATGAGGTTCGACAGAAGAAGGAAGAAATGAGCAACGTCTCACTTTCATGAGCTCAAAATACCTTGGAGCAACCTAATTGGAAGTCACCCCTTAACTTTCTTTCATTTATTTTTACCTTCTAGCAATTAACCAATCGATTTTTATTCTTTTTAGCAAGCTTGTTCGAACTTTCAGTAAATATTTTTCGACTTCCTTTCTCTCTAGATTCTTTACAAAATTAAGCAAAAAGCATAAAGCGAAATTAAGTTAACCATATACTTACTGGATTTGTCCTTGGAGGTGTCGATCGTCCTGTTGCGTAATAATGACCAATAAGTGCTTGATCATTGACGCACATAAGAATGTCGGTATTTGCCTATGTGATTTATGTATACAACAGTTAATTCTTTGACTTTATTCCCGTTAAAGAGTAAAAAAAACCTTTATTATTATTTTTTTTTTTTTTTTTTT